TAAAATATAATTGAAATCAAACTGTTGGCATGCAGTTCGATTATGGAGCACAAAACTGAATGCAAATCTTGTTTGCTACAAGGGTCATAACTACCCTGTGTGGGATGTTCAGGTAGGATATTGGATATTCACTTTTTAGTAAGCTGTATACCCCATCCCTAAACTCTAAGTCTAATCAACTTTTAATCAAGGAAAAACTCAAAAATCAACAGTTATGCCTGCTTTCCTTTCCTCACACTTGAGCACTAAGTGTATTGTCAACGGATGAAATAATATTTCTTCTGCAATCAGCGGTCCAAATCTTTCCAACAAACTATGAAGTCTCATTTTCTTCTCTTATGTGATTGAAAAGTTTTGGTTCACTACTACTCTATCTAGCTGCTTAACTCTTATTTTGGTAGGATGTGTCATGCTGAATAAAGATTTTACTTCAGCATCACTGAACAAGATATTTGACAGCATTTTTGTTTCCAAATACGCATGTGTATATTAGTATATGAACAAGATTTGAGAATGATTGTGAATCTCATTCTTTTTCATATTTGGAATACAAGGCTATTTATAGAGATATATGGTTTATAAAAGAATAAAAAATTGGTTGTACAGTAACAATACCTACAATCTTTGACCGTAACAACCCTGAATTTGGCTGCACTAAATCATGCAAGATTTATTCTATCCCTAAATCTTCGCTGCTCTAAAATTTTGTTTTCCGTATTATATCAATTGGCTATGCTGCTAAGAATTGTCCATATTGAAGCAAGTCCTTCAATGACTACGAACATAGCAAAAATTTCAATGCCTGGATGATATCAAAAAAAATTTTTAGCCCCTGTTTTTTCACATTATTGAAGAAAGAAAATGAAAATTTGTACCTTTTTTTCAAACGAAGTGGGTCCCACCAACACAAACTGGTCAAATATGGCTGCTATTCTACTGTACCAACGGTCCATTTTTTTCTACTAATGTGAAACAAACAGGGGCTCAGCCAACATTGCTTCTAGCATCTTTAGACTAAATAGAACACATTCACCAGTCTGAGTCACTTGAATGACTATGCCCTGTATTTTTCCCTTTTAATTTACTTTTTGCCTATGTTCGACATATCTCTGATTGACCCATGCTAGAACAGACTCATGATTCTGATGTTATTCTAGTGCAGTTTAGTCCAGTGGGACACTATTTTGCAAGTGCTTCACATGATCGAACTGCAAGGATCTGGTCTATGGACAGAATACAGCCTTTAAGAATAATGGCAGGTCACTTGTCTGATGTAGATGTGAGCACCTCGCTGTCTATGTGCTTGCGTGTAGATATTATCTTGCCAACATTAGTGTGCGCTAATCTATTTCTATGTTTTACATGATCAATATATTACCCCAGTATCTCACCAGTTAGACAGAAGGAGAAAGAAAAAATGAAAGCTTATTTTCTTCATCCTTTTTCTTAATAGATCTTGTTAGGGACTCTCCTTTTCGATTGATTCTATCGATTCACCTCTTTCCTTAAACTCATGACTCAATTTGGGGTCTTGCTCTCTTTTCATTGTTTACTGTAGTGAAGGCTGCAAAATTGTCAATCCCCAAGGGGCTACAGCTGCCATGGTCAACGACCATATTAGATGTGTGAAATATTGTTAATCTTTTTATAGCTTGTTGCAATGTGTGGTCATTGCTCTTTTTAGCGTTCTTCAGAAACCTGGAAAAAAATACATTAGAATATTTTAAAAATAGGCATGAAGTTTATTCATCCTTTTGTTCTATTAACAAATTTCTGTTGGTATCTGAAGACATACAGGCGGAGATATTAAGGTGATGCGGAATAAGATTGATTAGTTACACTAAGTTGCAAAAGATGTGTTAGAAGAATCTGGGGGTAGCAAACCACCGAATAAGGAGACACGGTGTTGGAATTAGAAAGTCCTGGTGGTTGAGACTAAAATAAAATGCCATAGAAATGTAAAAAAATATAAAAACATTGATGCTTTTGAGAAGTGCAAGTTAGCTTAATGAGAAGCCAAGAATATAATTCAAAAGTTCTACGTAGAAGAACATGAGAAGTTGCACAGTTATCTTGGAACAAGGAAGAGGAGAAATCAATGCACAAGTTATCTCGGCAATGGGTGAAGGAAAGTCAAGATCCGGATAAATTCTAGCGTTTAAATATGAGAAACAAAGAGCTTTGTTTTGTAATGATGAGATAACAGAAAGACTGGAGAATTATTTTAACAAATTAATTAATGAGCGGCAAAGTGTGGAGATTCGAGATTTCTCGAAGTCAGTTGGGGATAGGAATGTTTATTATACTAGAAAAATCCTCTTTTTGGAATTGAAGGGACGTAAAGAGGATGAAGATTAGAAAATATGGAATTGTTTGGATGAGGTGATTATATGGTTTACAAAATTATTCAGTGAGATTTTAAAGAATGAAAATATGCAAAATGGAGAACTATTATTGTGCATATTTATAACAATAACGGGATATTTAAAATTGTATGAGGTCCTGTCATGAGTCATACAATGAAAATATGGTTGAGGTTGATTGACCCAAGACCAGGGTGTATTCAATGATTTGAGAGAATCAGTTCAGCGTTTTTCTAGGGAGGCTGAGATAGAATATGTCTTATTTAAGGGTCTTAACAAATATGCACTACTAAGAAATCAAAGGTCAATGTCCCAAAGGAGTCTGAACTATTTATCAATGTTAGATTATTATATATCATGGCCATAATATGTGCTGAAAGTACCTCCCTTTACTTCGTTCTGTGAGAAGAAAATAAACTTAGGTTTTTGATATTTCTGATACTTCTAACTTTGTGTAAGTTGTAACGAGCTATTTTTTTACACAATTTTGTCCATACTAAAGATTTCAATCTTAATATTTCTTTTTCATTTCTTAGTGCGTGCAATGGCATGCAAACTGCAACTACATTGCAACTGGATCCAGTGACAAAACCGTGCGCTTGTGGGATGTTCAAAGTGGGGAATGCGTTAGAATTTTCATTGGTCATAGAAGTATGATCCTATCCTTGGCAATGTCACCTGATGGTCGTTACATGGCATCTGGTGATGAAGATGGTAAGATCATGATGTGGGATCTTGCAAGTGGACGTTGTGTTTCCCCTTTGGTTGGTCACTCCTCCTGCATATGGTCTCTTTCTTTCAGGTGCAAAAGATTTTATATATCCCAAACATCTATTTAATGTTCGTATTGCATTTCAAGTGAAAAGGTGATTTTCTCAATGATAGATCGCATTGTAATTTTGTTTCATGTTTTACAGTTGTGAAGGTTCACTTCTTGCATCGGGTTCTGCTGATAGCACTGTGAAAATATGGGATGTAACCAAGAGCTCGAAGGTGTCAAAACCTGAAGAAAAGTAAGTTCATTTTGACAGACAGTTCTCTCCCTCCCTCCACTTTGCAATAATTCAGGAGTTAGTACCATAGTGATGAAAAATCTTTTGCTTGAAAATTCAATGAATGAATGCTTCAAAAAAGCTAACTCGGTAGCTAACTTTTGTTTCTTTGTTATTAACTATGTGCTGTAATATTTTTTTCACCAGTAAAAATGGAAACACGAACAGACTCAGATCGTTGAAGACCTTGCCCACCAAATCCACTCCAGTCTATGGTTTGCAGGTATATACAGACGGATGATCACTTCTCTCGTTCATTTATACATCGGCATCTTCTGAAGTCTATTTTTATCGTTCTTTTGTAACAGTTCTCTCGAAGGAATCTTCTATTCGCGGCTGGGGCTCTCACAAAAATTGCGTGAAAAAATTTCTTGATGATACGATCTGGACTTCAGAGATTATGTTCCATTGGCCATGGTCTCGTAGAATGCAGTTCCAGTCTTGCCTCCTGTTGCAATTGTTTCCTTTTCTTCTTGATTTTTGTGGAGAAGTTTTGAATAGCATTTTAATTCTAGAGCATGTTATTTCTGAGGTGCTTAAGAAATAGATACGTGTCTTAACCTTTTTTCTCATTCTCTAGGAGTAACACTCGTTCGCTTTTTCTTGCTTATTTTATCTATGCCTTAAATATAATTTACAAATGAAAGCTGATAAGCATATAAACTACTTGGTTTAGGTACAAGATACATGAATATTTTACATTTGCAATGACCCAATTACAAGAGCGCCAAGTCGAGCATTCTTAATTTCGACATGGAACGTAATAACCTAAGACATAATGATCTATACTAAAATATGTGATTTTCGGCATCATAATTCATCAATGTTCATGTTTTATTTCAAACAGTAGACTTCATATCGTTCACAACATAATTTAGTAACTTTTGATTAGTATTCTCTTTCTTCGCAAACTATTGTTGGAAAACAATACATGTTTTCTTTTCAGCGATTAAATAAAAATTAAAATATAAGTTAGGTGATGAATTTTAAACAAATTGAAGTTGGTTGATCAAAGCGAATCAAATTAAGTTGGGTTTCTTCCCATGAAGTTAAATATAAAACTAGACCACTCTTGCACATTTATTGTGCAATTATTTTGAAACGTTACTTGTTCCTTTCAAAACCATAGACCAAATGGTCAAATTTCCATTAAAATATTATTACCGTCTTCAAACTGAAAATCAAACTATTTGGTAACAAATATGCTAGATGTACACTCCAAGTGTACAACAAGCATGACATTTGATGTGGGGTGGAAAAAAAAGATTGGAGGGAAAATTGTTTAATTTGTTAAACTATCCAATGTGTTGCCACGTGACAAAGTGTAAAGAATGATGTACATGTAGCATGATTGATATGATTTTAGGATCCACATATTTGATGATTTCAAAGATGTCTTCATCGAGATCATCACAACCAAGTAAAGCACGAGGGGAAGAAACATAGCCATTTTTTTTTCTGTAATTACCTGTTATACGTGGAGCAAAAAGTCGAACAATAGGTAGCTAAAGAAAGCCATGGCAGTTTCTCTAATAACAATGTCCCCTGAAGCTTCGTAGGATCATGAACTGATTTAAGCTTGAAGTCAAGGAGTCACACGCTTGCGGGACAAGACTTTTTGAGTGTGTGCTGAAGGAGAAGAACCCAAGAGTAGCCTGGAGCGCCCTTTTGTTTGGCGCCTTGTAACCATGCAACTGATTGAGGAAATCGTGCTTGTTGATTTAAGGTTTTTGTCGTTGGCTCCAATGCCTAGAAGCTGTTTCGGTCCAGATGGACTGTCTGGCATCTGATGCTTCCTTTTGTTTCTGAGTAGTTCCCATATCAACTTGTCGTCTTTAGCTTGATCTTCCACCACAGTTAGAGGCTTTGGACACTGGGGGGGGAGGGAAAGAGAACAAAAAATTGGAAAACAGCTTTGTTAAAGGCCATTAAACATATAGCATATGCCCTGAAGACCAGCTAATCCGGCTATCCCTAAAAAATGAGAATTTATACTTGATAATCATACATATGATATCCAACAATGTAGAGTAATATTTCTGTACTGAAAGAGACATTTTAAAAAAATTGAGAATGCCATGCAACATCTGAATTTCATTTATCCTTCTATACTTGTGAAATTCACAGAAGGAACCTGTAATAGTTAATTCTCATATTAATAAACAAACTCAAAGTCAATAGATTCTTTGTGCATATCGTATTAGTAGATTTGTTCACTTTATTGCGCAATGCTGATGAATAGACTTCCAGCATTAAAATTTAACTTTTTTCTGCTAGTAAAATTGGCAGCAACACAAGCACCAGATAAAAAATGATGATAGGTAACAATACCTTTTGCTGTATCAAGTTTTCCTTTGGTTTTCTGTTCGCTTCTAAAAGGAATATGTCGTGTGTTTTAAGTTTCTTCACCATCTCTTCAGATTCCTTCAACTTTCTCAATAACTCAAGCCTACTTTTTTCTGCCAATACTGCTCTGTTCCTTGCTTCCTGCAACTCTAGCCTTCTGACTCTCATTGCCCCATCCATCTCTTCAACTACAGTCAATAGGCGAGTGCATGTTCCTGTTGTAAACTCACCCTTTAGAGCATGGACATACTCAACCATGGGATTACACATTTTTTCAGCAAGATCACGTATCAGGTTATCCACTCCAACCTCCACTGAGCTAACGGCTGCTCCAACATGGTCAAATGAAGCTTTGAGGAGTGTTAGCATCATTAGAGACATGCCATTGTCTCGGCTTGATTGATGAATAGCAGAAACATGCGTAAAAGCTTTATGAAAGAATCTTTTTAAGGACACTTGATGGACATAAAGAGTCTCGAGTATGTCATTTTTGCTCGAGTTAACCTGGATTTCAATTTGTTTAAGAAGATGGATCAGTTGCATAAGCTGCAACTTTTGTTTCTCCCTCAGCTCTTTGCCTGCTGTGGTAGCTCTATCTGTATAGCTTTCTTCCTGCAAATTAAATGATAAGCAATTGAGTACGTATAAAGAAAAACTATTTATCATTGAGATTCGAAGTTCATAGAAGAAATTCTATGACAGTACTCATAAATTTGAAATTCCAGGGTAGAGAGGTATATTGAACTTCAAATGAAAGCATTGTAAAATCAAATATGCTGCTCTCCACATGGAGATTGACCATCATCTCACAAAAAAATCAAGTGTGATTTCAATTCAAGTACAAGAAATGGAAATCTCAGTTATCAAAGTTCCTGAGCATTGAAACCTTAATATAGACACACAGAGAAATTAAAGTAACTGTATGTTCACACATTGTAATTATGTATGTAATGATAATCTTATGTCATTGCACCAGAGAAATTTTCTTTTGAGATTGAAATAATGGTTTATATGGTTTATGTGCTAGGATGTAGGTGATGCTCATCTGCCTACCGGCTACCTTGATGTTGTAAAAGGAAAATCTAGTAAGACTTTTGCAGAAAATACAATAACAAACCAAGCCTTATTCACCACCAGGGGATGCCCCCAAAGAATGTATTATAAGGATGAAAATCACTCTTACCCACGAATCAAGAGCAATCAAAAACACTGAAGTTTAGGAGTAATTTATGTTAACATTTTCCTTCATTAATGTAATTGCTTTGCCTTGGGCATTAGTTGTCTCATTGATTTTGCAGCTTCATGTATTCTGTATAAATTCAACTTGGCTGTAGTGTACAGTAATGAATACAGATTTTCATCCATTTTCTTTTTCTCCAGACTCATCGGTGCTATTTACTAGGCTTCAGGTTTACTATATAAACCTCACTTGAGTTTTTTTGCCACTTTGTTCCATACCATTATATGTTGTATTGGATAATCCTAATCTAGGCTTGTGAAAGCTCTAAACGATATCAGAGTTTCAGGTGAACAACTCATCCACTCATATTTAGTGCACTCAAAGATCATTGTTATGATATTTAAGAATTCACCTCCATATTATTAGCACAGTTATCCCATTTCTTGATTGCTGAAACTGATCTGATAAGTTCTTCAATTCCACTTCCACTCCAGCAACCCTGCCACACGTTTTGATACAAGATCCTTATTTTATGTATCGTCACAAAAAGGGCAGAAGAAGAAACAAACGGGCGCTTCAGTATAAGAACCAGTACTTGTGACTCAGACCACATACATGCATCAAAGCACATGGCGCACACACTCTTGTATAGCTTCTTAAATTTCGAATAAAAGAAAACACATTCAAGTTCAAAAACATAAAGAAGTATGTACGATTATGATCCTAGAAGCTTTGACTGGTTTAAGTAAAGGTACAAGCACTGAAGAACAATGGTTTAAATACACATCAAGATTTTAAATATTGTCGGCATGTTCCAAGTAAAGCAATAACACTGATTGATGTACACTTGTACGTTATGGAATAAGGCAATTAGCAGAGAAGGTAAAGCCCGTGCCTAAGTAGTGGTACAAGCACTGAAGCATGATGTGCCTCATTAGAAACTAGAATTCTCACATCCGCATAGGAATTTGCCATGAAACACAACTCAGAGTTCCGAATTGAAAAATAAAACTTAAGACTTATGCGAAAGAACGAACGAAGAGATTAAAAAAAAATGTCATTTGATTAAAAAAACAGAGAGAATTACTTGAGAATGTGAACGGTTAGTATCGGTGATGATAGTACTGAATCTTCCCTCCTCAGCCATTTCAACGGTCTTCAATCCCACCAACTTCATCAGCGGCAGAGCCAGGGAGGTAAATACATCTTCCGTCTTCACAACCACAACATAGATTAATCAGACGCTGTGAACTAATAATTTAAAATAATTTGAATTTTCTATCATTAGCTTAATTAATCAATATATTGAAATTCTACTTCGCGTAAACTGTCTTTGATCTGAGAATTGAGCTGATTAAATGCCATTTTTAGCTGTTCATGGCCAGAGACAATCTGCAGAATCTTCAATCGGAGATCGGCGATTGGCGGTGGAAAATCGGAGTGAGAACCAGGCCTCCGACCATCCATTGCTTCTTTTTGGAGGGAAAAATTGGTAATCTTGTCTGAATTGAAACTGGGGAGCGAGTGTGTGCGCTAACAACTTTTTTCCCTAAAATGTACTTATAATTAAGAAATTTCATCTGTGGTCATTGAATTCTTACCGAAATAGTAATATGGTGAATAAACTTTATTTTGTATCAATTGCTCACTAAACTACAATTTGCTTTCAATTAAGTCACTGAACCACAATTCAATTTCAAATGCCACCACTTCGTCGATTGCCATCTCCCAAATTGATGAAATTAAAACTTAGTGACCCAACTGAGATTCGCTAAAATCCAGCGATCGCAGATGAAATCTATTCCTAAATAGAAAAGACAAGTTTTTCTGTGTACACTAATTTATGGTTATATTATAGTCTATTTGATGATAAACATGAAAGTTTTGGGTTAAAAAAAATAAATTACAATTCAAATAGGTAGGCCCACTTATTCTAAAGTTAACGACAAAGCGAATCCCTCAAACAATTGTCTCCAAACTAGACTAGAATCCCACATATTATCAAAAGAAACTTCTAGACTATTTCCCTGGCTTTTAACGAAGCCGAATCTCGCGATGAGTGGAATTGCTATGCGAGATTTAAAAACACGTGTAATCGACACGTCTTACAGAAATTGAGCACTTCTATCATTCTGCATTGAGTTCCTTTGCGAGTGAATAGTACTCTAAGTTTTACTCAAATCACTTTTTCAGAGCATGTATTGTTTACTAGTCACATAGAATTTTCACAGAAATATTGCCTTTCGGAACGTATCTTTATGAATGTGAGCTTTATAATGGTTCTCCCTCGACCCTTTCATTTAAATGATACAACCTTTTAAGGGCATGACTTTTTATTATAAACACAACTCTAAAGTAATGTACACAATGTATCACATTGTGACACGTACATTAACATAATCACGTGTTATTTTATTAATTTCCTTATTTATCTACCTAAGACGATAAAATTGTTGTCTTGAAAGAGACAAATAAGTATAAGCATAATTTTTCGCACATGAAGAATATATCAATATATCCGTTAGTTAAATTAATTGTTATGCATCGATAGAAGATCACTCATTTGTAATAAACAATAAAGTTCAATACTCACTTAAAATCCAAAGGAAAACAAAAAAGTTCAAGTCAAAGTAACTATTACATCAAGCACAATGAAGACTAAAGATACTAGTCAAATTCACCTTAATTTCATCATAAGCCGAAACTACCATAATTCATCAAATCCTTGGTACAAACTCTAGAATAGCAAGTGATCAGTAGCTCCACCAGTTATGGAGCTGGAAGCGGTGGCATTGCTGCGTTCGGCATGGCAAAGCTGACGTAGCTTGGTCGGAACGTACCAAATAGAAAGTCGAGGATGCATGTTAAATATAGCATCGATGTCCCACCCTTGTCGTGCACCGATAATCACAAGAGGCTTGTAACAAGCCTGCCTCCACGCACCAACGTTTTCACCTCGCTCCTTGAAACTTCTTCGCAATGCATTGGACGCCTCCTCATCGAGGCAATGCAGTGCATAGCAGTGTACATAATGTCGCATTTTTGGCTTGTTGATGTAGCTTGCTCCCGACTTTTTTGCGAACCTAAAAACTTGATTAGTCACCTGTATTATAAAGAAAACGAATAACCATTTTGTTAGGTCTAAGGCGACCCGACCCGAGTACCTTTCCACAAACACAAAAGCCTTTTGCACCATGGTTTTGAGTTCCAACACAAAATGATAGATAAGGTGTCATTTCACAGCAAGATGGACGTGGCATAGATTAACGATACTTGGGCCCCTTTAAAAACAGGATCACATGTCCGTACATTTATAAGTTGTCAATATCTCCTTGAGACTACTAATTTTCAAAACTGACTATATTCAGGATTAACAGTACGGAATTCACAACAAAGTCCAAAAAGACACAAAAATCTAAAAAAAATAAGAAAACATTATTTTATTGAGTATTAGGATTGAAAATATATAGGTTGTGTTCGATCGTACTTAAAATTCAATTAAAATTGAAAATATAATCGTAATTGAGTCTCGCTCGTCTAATAAAAGTCAACAATAATTGCTAATTTTTCAATTTTAATCTTTACCGAACACGCCCATATTGTTGAAATAGATTTGACCGAACAAATAATTATTATTTTTACTAGAAAAATAGTATTTTCCTAGTTAAGATTCTCTTGTCGTCCTTAGTAAGTTAAAGAAATGTTAAATGTACAACTCCGGTGTACGCTCCCCTCACGAGGGGGGCCCACACCAATAAAAGTACGCTCCCTTCACAGGAGGGGAGCCCACAACCAATAAAATAATTGTGGACCCCCTCCCTCTTGTGAGGGGGCGTGTACATGTAGCTAATCTCAGTAAATTAATAGTGAGAACAAGTCATTTTAAAGGTATGTTTGAGTCACATTATTTTGGAAAAATGTATTTTGAAATAGTAAATTGATAGAGAATGTACGGTTGAAAAAAAAAGCCATTCTTCTTCGAATAATACATTTTATCTTTCACATCAAATGGGGTCCATGGAGAATGTGTGGTTGAAAAAGAAGGAAAAGTTATTGATGTGATGAAAAATATTATTTTATTGAAAAATGTGTGGTTAAAAATGAGTAAAAGAATGATAATAAAAATTTTAATGTGGCTCAAACAGGCTAAGAGTATGAAATGGAGTCAACGAAAAGTTAAACATTTTGAACTGGAATGAACGACCAAACTTCATTGTTAACTAACCTTGGTGGGACATTTTTCACCTCTTTCTTTGGCAATATTCTGAACTTGAATCAAGAAATCATGGCATTGTTCATAGAGATGGAAGAGGTAATCAAGGCCATTCTTCTTGCCTCGTGCCACTTCCCCAGGCACCGTCACGATGAAGGGATGTTCTCGCTGCCTTTCACTTCCACCAACACCGCCACTCTCATTCTCCTCGGCTTCCTCTGTTTCGTCGTCCTCTTCTTCCAATGAAACTATTCTAGACCGCCCCTTTTTCCTTCGTCGCTGCTTCTCGCCCCCTCTTCCTCCCACCATCTCCCACGTCCCTCCTTCGCCGCTGGCACCGGCTTCCTTTTCTTGTTGAACTGGCTCCACTGATAAGCCTAGTTTGATCAATTTTTACAGGGGAAATTATAAAAAATTTGAAAAAAAAAATGTTACATATGCATGTTTGAGTAATATTGCCTATGCTATTTCTTGCTGAATACGAAACATTTCATCGCAATTTGTCTTTCATCATGCATGCAATTAATACGACTTAATTCATGGAAATGGAAACATGTTAACTTCTATAAATCTTCGCATACTTATTGAGTCATGTAACATTTTATGCTACAATGTTTAAAAGAAATTTACAATGCAAAAAAATAAATAAATAAAAAATTGCAAACAATACCTTCTTGAGAGAGCGCATCAAGGGCATTAGCAGTGTCCTGGGAGAGAAGGAGGTGGTGGCGGCGCCTTTCGGCCCTTACAGCAGCCTTGATCCCGTACCTCTCCCCAACAAGAAGATCCCACCGGAAAATATGTGATAAACTGTTCATCATTTCATCAAGTTCCTCATCCTTCATGTCCAATAGGGTGTTAACTGTGAATCCAAGCTCAGCTATTTTAGCAGCAGTAAAATATCTTATTCCATAAGGTTGAAGCAAGTCCTCTAAACCTCCCAACTCCCTTATTCTCATTGAAAATGTCTGCACAGGCTGCGCCGGAGGAGGAGGTGGCGCCACTGCTTCAAACATCCGGTTAAGTGGTGGCACGGCGGCTCTAGGGTCCCATTTAAACAAACTTGCTGAAAATGCATCCGGATCCATTGGCTAAAGAATTTTGTGTATGGAAATTTCTGTTGTAAATAGTGGGCAGCTGCTGCTTCTTATAACTGAATAGCAATGTGCTTTTGCTTTTGGCTACTGATAATGTATGTACGATTCACTGTTGTATTGCTATCTGGATTCGTTGCATGCTGCGAGTGAATAGTTAGAATTTAACTAGATTGTACTTGCTCAAGTTCCAATCCAACCCGCTAATATTAATTATGGTAACATGATTTTGTGACGTTTGAGTAGAATGTCAGAGGTTTAAAGTTCAAACTTGCTTTGTTGAAAGTACTCTTTTTTTATTCTGAAAAATACGTATGAACTTTATGAGTCGTCGCTATAGACGAGTTTTCTATTATGATGGTATATGTGGAGTATATATCAACATCGTAAAAACTAGAACTGACGAGTTCGACTAAGAAAACTATGAATTGGGTCGAGAATTGGCCTAATTACATTGAAAATACGAGAACTGAAAAATCGATTAAAAACAAAACAGAACATGCCATTTCCTACAACTAAGAAAACTAGGAATTGGGCCAGTACTGCAAGGTCTACCCGGGTCTCGACCCATGACTCTTTAATTTTTTTCAAGTATAATAACCTTTTAAAATATCTGTACATAACTACGTATACATACATGAAGTATGCAATACATACATGAAGTATGCAAGTAGTTGGGATGTGACTGACTAGATGTGATTCTACATGAACAAGTTTGCAAGAGAAAAGAGAGGAAATAAATGGACAGGCATTTAAGAAATACTATTACTTGGCAATGTGAAATGATGCAGGCAAAGTACAAAGAGGTCTCACAGTAGCCTATTCTTTCTGAAATCTGAAGTAAGGCTCTTCTTTTCGTACTCTCTTTTTTCACTTAAGATTTTTTTGGTTCATGCAATACACTATGCATGTGGCAGCAGCAGCATAAGCATAAGCATATCTCAGTTTTGTACTTACTTGCTATGATTTCTCTACACACAACTGATACCACTGCCAACCCATAATGCTTTACAAGGCTGCCATTTATCCAATTCTCGTGTTTTGGATTCTTCACCGCCTCATATTTTCCTTCTTTTTTTTTTTTTTTTTTCTTTTTATACCCAGAAATCCCAGCTTAGCCAGACTAAATCCTGGATCTCTAACCACCGACCCCTTAGCAACCCGAGGAGGTATACCGTGGGTTATGCCCTTTTTGGATCTAGGTTCCTGCACCGCTTATACTCCTGACCCCAAGAGAGTTCTCCTCACTGCATTTCAGTCATTGCCTTGCTTTCGAGAAAATCCCCCTTCCAAGACTCGTGCCTTCTCCACGCTGGGGTTGCGAGCCCATAAATGCAATGCAATTGTTCCACCAACTCGGATGTGCCCCTGGGGGCTTTCCCTTCTTTAATCTTGTTTCGATTATGAATGCGTTAAGTGATTTCATCCTGTTGTGTTTTCGCCTTGACACATATTAAGCCCATGTTTGTTATAAATTAAAATTAGATTTTTAGTAAATTTTGATAAAAATTGATTGAATGTGTAGTTGAAAAGTTGTGTGCCTCATGAAATGTGTAGTTAAAATTAATTGTTAACTTTGACTTGAAATTAAAACCAAATTTAAATCTGCACCAAACATGGGCTAAATCCCTCTAAAATGTTTTGATGAGCCTCTTTCTTTGTAGAGAGAAATCGAGACCGTGAGTTTAGAAACAATTTATAATCTCTTACTTGCTTGATTTCAATCATGTGTAAAACTTTTAAATTATCAGGTTAGGACAAATTTGATTATTTAACTCACAAATTTCTATAATTAATTATCAAAAAAATTATGAAAATGTCTTTTTTTTTTTTTGAAGAACAGCATATTACCCAATGTGGGAATCAGAATCCCATAGATGAGAAATAGCATTTTCCAATATTTTAATTTCACAATTGTCCTTATTGTGATAAACTTTGGTCAACTGAGTCGGTAATGAAGTGACCCAATAATCTGACGACACGTCATGATCGATGCAGTGTACGGAACAGTGCTTTGTTTCTTTATTTTAATTTGTTTGGCCTTTTTCTGCTCTGTCCCTTTGCTGCATCCATAGGATCACTCAGTACATCGTAAAAACTGCCAGTTTACAAAATCAATCTTCTTTTATCAATTTTCGCTTCCACATGGAACATGTACATGCTGAGAAGCTGTTTGATGAGGATTAAAATTAAATTTTTAGTGGACTGTGATAGAAATTTTTGAAATATATGATTAAAAAGATGTGAAATCCATAAAAGATTAAGGACCCAATCATTGATCCCAAAAGCCCAGGCTTAATGGGGATTAGAATCCCGCCCTTTTAGACCCTAACATTGGTTAATATTGATTGTTTGACTTTGACTTAAATTAAAATCAAATTTTAATTTGGCCCAAACATGCTCTTAATTACTTATGTCCAAATGCTTGTAAAAGATAGTTATGTTTATTTTTGCCTATATGTTTGATTTATTGTTGATCCATTGAAAGATTGCGACAAGTTTTGTTAGTTATGTTGAGCCATGTTTGTTTCGAATATTAATTTAAATCAAAGTTAAACAACCAATAGTAACGTATCTTTCATGGATCCCACAACTTTTTAACCACATATTTCAAAAACTTCTATCATAATCTACTAAAAATCTAATTTTAATCCCCACCAAACACCCACTTATATCCCATACAGACAGATAAAAAATTTGAGTTCGGGTAATATGCGTCACAAATTTGTGAAATTTTGAAATTTGTACATTTATTCGAATTAGCTAGGCAGCATCTTGGATGGGAATTAATTTCAGTTTTCCTCCATATATCTCTGGAATCTGGCATTCATCAATGTCTTCAAGTAGAGTAGACTGCAGTTGTTTATTTCCCACGAAAACTATCTGTAGGGAATAGACAAAATACATGCATAGGTTAATTATGTATCAGATAATTATGTATTAGATACTTGACAAAATACATGCATAGGTTTATTTTCTTCAAGTAGGTTAATTTGAGTTTTATTCATTCAATATGAATAAGTTATTAAATATTCTTTTTTTTTTTTTTGGGAAAAAAATGAAGAAATTGCTGCTTGAGAACTCACCTTCTTCTTGGTGTTTTGGTCAATAAATGGCGAAAGAATCTTCCACAGTGTCATAAAGATGTAAGGAGCATGAATAACGAACACTTTTCCAAGTCTTTCAGGGTAGTAATCCTGCAATCAAAATCAAAGTAGTCTGCAACAATCTTTCAAATGGCATTCGACGTGTGCTTGTCGAGAGAATTTTATTTTTCTCGGCTTGTTTTGTCACGTCAACTGTACAATGTTGTCCAATACTTGTTGTATGTGACGGAACAAACCTGTAAGATGGAAAGGGCTGCTAGGTATGCACGAACGTCGCTATTTGCATATCCATAGCCTTTGAGATCTCCAATAATTGTGAATTTTTCTTCTCCAGCAGGCATCCTGGTATGCATCAAGAAATACTAATCAACATGACATTCGCTTGCGAAATGGGCTGAAATGTATTATCTTTTTCAAGTTTTTTTTCCCTGATTAATCAACGCAAAGCGTTGAAAAATTCACAGTTGATGAGTGCAGACCTTCTTTTAAGTATTAATTTGGAGCAAAATGAAGCTTGGAGACTTGGTTTTCAAGCTTGCCCGATTAGACGGGACTTGACACGACAGACAAACACCTGAGGTATCTATTGAATCTAGTACTAGACCGAACAGTTATAACTGAGAAAAGGGTACCTTGCACATAGTTTGTCCAGAGCAAAGACAAGAAAACCTGGAAACTCAAACGGGAAGTGTAAGAAATGACAGATAAACAAGGCATTAAAATTCACAGAGAGGCTTTTCTAACACGAGAACTCACGCTTGAATTCGTCTCCTTTAGTTGCGAAATGCTTAGCACCAAACACGACGGCTATGGGACGTCCCTTTTTATCTGTCCCTTGCATAAACATCTTGTTTTGTGCTATTTCATTTGGAACCTCAGAAGCTGCAATGAAGCCTTTAGGTACAAATGTCCGTCTCCATTCGAGGTATTTCAACAACATTGCCGAAGCTTTCTCTACATTTTGATCGCGCGCACGAAGAAATCTTCTCATTGTTAAATCATCTATATCCTGTAAATTGTTAAATCAATTGAACAAAAGCTCTGCAAATCGTTATATGATTAAGGTACCTATATGCATTATTTCAAGGGTTATGCTACATGTACATCCTCTTTTTTATATAATCTTTTATCCACACTCACAATAGGGTGTGAGGACCACACATTTGAGATTTTTTATTCACGCTAGACCGCGCGCATGTGAGAGGGTAGCACATTTTCGGTAACCCACATTCGATACAAATAGAATTATCCTTACTTCAATGGAGTTTTTTGACAGTACTAGTTGTTAGACGTTCCTCTTAGTCAAGCAATTATTCGACTTAGGGACAGTTAATCAGTCGAATTAATCACTGGACTTTAATTTTAATCTGCAATTTTCTTGAAAGAAAAAAGCAATGATCACCCAACTTTATATTTAAAGTCATTATGGTCATCCAATTTGATTTTGTTTCATCATGACCAACTAATTTGATTTTATTTCACTATAACCACCCAACTTCTTTCAACTCTTTTCACCAATTTTAAAATGGGTAAAATGGTAAATTTGCATTATATATAAAAAAATAAATTCTAAACATAAAAAAAAATTAATTTTTTTAAAAAATAAGTTTTTATTTTATTTTTAAAAATTTATTTTGTGTATAAAATTACCTTTTACCAGTTTTAAAATTAGTGAAAATTGTGAAAAGAAGTTTGGTAGTCATGGTGAAACGTTATATGAAATTTGGTGATCATGATGATATAAAATCAAATTGAGTAGCCATGGTGATACTAAATATAAAGTTAGGTGGCTACGGTGAAACAAAATCAAATTGGGTGATCATGGTGACCATTGGTATATTTAACCCTACAATTGGTGAACCACTATTGCCTTCAAAGTCTAATCAATTTAATTTTTCAAAATCATGTATTTTAAGTTGAATATTACTACTTAATAAGTTACGACATTCTTAATTTACAAAACTTATATTTATTATTTTTTATTTTTTTACTTGTCGTGTTACATTTCTTATCTCAATTTCCATATTTACTATCCAGTATATGTTGTGTGATTCATATCTTATAATAACAATCACTATCAACTTTACTTGTGAAGAATTAGTGAGTTTTTTATTTTGCAGAGAAGGACGTAATTATTGATAATAAGAGATTTCTTGCACACTTAGTCATTCCAGCTATATTTATATTTTCAGGGAGTCTTTAAAAGATAAAATAGTGTTTTTCTTACGGTTCGTGAAAGCTGGAATGAAGTTGTAAGACGGCTAATTCCCAACTCATGCAGTCATAAGCCGAGGTTATGAATTTTGGTCTACACAATATGTGAACCTCAAGAGGATCATTAGAGGTTATTTCCGAATGAGCAACTTCTTCGACCGACAAAACATGTACATCTATGAACATCAACAAAAAAGTGAAAATAACAGTAAAGATTAGAACGTGACGGAACCTTCGAAGTCAGATCTTGCATTTCGACTGTAGCTCTCATAAGTACCAGTTTCTTCTTCTCCTCTGCAGTGCTTTCATCAACACGTTTCATTCCACCATCTGTAATTCCTTCTTCATGTGCTGTTTCTTGAGATCCCTGAAAATGTTTTTGCCATCAAAATTCCTTCCCCTTCCATTATTTTCTTCAAGCAAATCTTGAAGAAATAACAGCTTTTTTACTTTTAAGCAAATTTTTGTTCCAAACATATTTGAAAAAAGTTACTTTTTTATTCATAACAAAGTTACTTATTCTGACAAACAATCTGTGTCATTGACCATAGATATTATGTTTTCTGAGAACATGGACTGTGAATCCAACTCCCTGCGGAAAAATAGCTCGACGCCAAGATAATGAGGTATCTAACTTTTTTTAACTTGGCAAAACATGCACTTTGATCCATATAGATCAGCAAAAAAGTGAAAAAAAATAAAAATAAGAAAGTGATGAGAACCTGGCAAATCAGATCCTGCTTTTCAACTGTAGCTCTCGTAATACCTTCTTCTTGTACTGTTTCTTCAGAGCCTTGAAACTGTTTTTTTCCCATCAAAATTCCTTCTCCTTCCATTATTTTCTTGAAGCAAATCTTGAAGGAATGGCAGCCCTTTTTCCTTAATTATTTGCCGACAATTGCCCAGAGGAAAAAAAGACATGGAAGTCTATAGAAGAACTTGATGAACAGAGAGCTAAGAAGAATAGTGAAAATTGAAAAATTAATTGTCGTTAGGTGCAACATTTAATGGCTTGACGTGGAGGCACCAGTTCTTTTGCCCCTAAAAAGTGGGAATTTTCTAATTTTTGACTTTGATTTTTATTTAATTTTCAATGAAGATTGGTGACAAGTCTCTCCAAGACTTGAACAACCAAGTTGATGTGTTTCTTATTGACAGAAGGTTTGGAAAGGTGTTCAACTACTTTTCCCTCTATTAGTGAAGAAGTATATGATCTAACATGCCGAGATAATAAAGTATAAGAGTTTGTTTGTCTCCCATTATGGGAGAAGAAATCGAGTTTTGAATAGTATTTTTTGAAGAATGTATGGTTGAAAAGTAAAGTAATTTTATTGATTTCTGTGTAAAATATTTTATTGAGTGAATATGTGATGAAAATTGTTTACTGTAGTAAACAATGATTGATAAAATGGATGACAAACATGGGCTAAGATACCACAAAAAAAGGGTGTGATATGGACATTAACCTAATGGGGTAAAAAGAGTTGTCCAAGAAAGTGTGATCCGGCTTTTGGTAGCCAGTCTCTAATTTTTATTTTTATTTTTTTCAAAAAAAAAATTATTTTACGTATATATATTTATATTTCTTTGAGACCCTACATATACGCAGGTTTTAATTTGTTTCAAAATAATCATTCAAAATAAAGATTTGTTTAAAATTGGTCATTGAACTTTAAGCTCATGCTTGACCTTCATTTTCTAAAAATTCTTTTTTTTTTTCAAACTCATTTTCAACAATACATTCTTTCAATAAAAAGATCTAATGTGTTTCACGTTAGTCACCTAACTATAAAATTTCTTCCACTTTGATCACTACCTTAGTCTTCTTGCGACTCTAGTATATCATCTACTTGGATTAGCATCGACCTAAGAAATTTTCTATTATAAAGGCACTAATTGTTAAAAAAGATAGTTAACTCCTTTTTTGACCCCCTAATGCATGCATGGACCCCAAAAGCCACACACATTTTAAAAAGGAGAAAATTTCATATCTAAAGTATGATCAATTTCAAAACTAAGAAACAAGGTTTAAAATTTCAAAAATCCAATATTGATTATTTTTATTTATAAAATAATTAATTAAAAATACATTTTATTAACTAAATATATTAATGTCACAATTCTATACAATTTGGTAACAAATTATCAAATTAATTTATCACAAATTATTTCTCGATTACAAATAAATTTTTTTATAGGTCACATTATTTCACGGTCACAGATCAAAAATTGCAAATGTTACAAACTACAAATTTTGTAAGTCACGACTTATTTAAATATTACAAATTATCAAATTAATTGGTCAAAAGTTATTTATCGGTCACAACTTAATAAATTGTGAGTTGCAATCATATTTTTTAGATTACATATTATTTATTGGTCACAATTTAACCAATTTATTGATTACAATTAATTAAAAAATTGGTCAAAAATACCCAATTCCATCATATCTCACCCACAACTGTCACGACCACCACCATCACCGCCACCTCACTAGATCACCAACATCACCACCACCTTACCACCGCAGCCAATACCACATCCTCAACCATCTTATCTTTTTGTGCTTATGTTAAATCTGTAGGAAATTTGTCATCTATGGCTTTTGAAACTTTTTGTTGAATCAAAATTCTCTTCATCTTTTGTTGCCAAATTGAAAAGCCTCATTTCCCATTAAAATTTTCAATTTCTAAATGTGAAGACATTTTGAAAAAATAGAACAACAAAAAATGCACACATAGGTCACACAGAGTAATCATAAGGTAACAATATACACCGTTCTAGATTCTCAGGGTTTCGTAAGATTCACGATCTTATATCAAGGGAATATTCGAACGGATCAAGTCTAGGTGTTATAACGGAATAGTCAATGCAACACTAAGGTATATCAACAAAAAATTCAAAATTCCAACGCAATTAAACACATAAGCAAATATTAACTTGCAGTTAAAACCAACACTTCAAATATAGCAATTAATTCCTAAATTTATAGTACAAGCAATTGTTACCTCTTTACGGTAACCCTAATCCTAGATACACGATTACGTGAATATAAATAAATTTATTTATAATAACTCTATATTTATGTAGATCAAAATTCATCAAGTCAAGATTCAATGAGTCTAGATTAATGTAAATGTTAATTAATTGAGAATTAATAATACGGAATTCATGCATGACAAAGATTTTGTAGTATTTATTATATATTAAAAATATAAAGTAATATATTATTGAAATAATTAAGTTATAGTATATTAAAATCGTCCAAAAAATGATTATCTTGTGATATTTAATATATTATATATTTATAATAATAAAATTAGCCAATAAGAAAAGTAAAACACCTTATGCTCGAGAATGTAGCAGGAAAAAAAAAAAAGAAAGAAAGAAAGAAAGAAAGAGCCCAAAAAAGTGAACAGTGTAAGAAATTTACGTGGGACGTATTACTGCCACGCTTCCACACATCCATTTGCATACAAATTCCACACTCTTATCCCATCGTCTCTCTCCCCAACACAGTACATAGATAGATAGATAGACAGAGAAAGAAGGGCAATAGAAAATGGCCTTGCAATTTCAGGTTCCAATAAAGGCATCACATAATTCCCCTTTAGCTCCTACCGGAAATGCAGGCCTTAGGCTAAATTCAGACCGATTTTCACTCAAATCTTCGTTTTTCTCTTCATCTGTTCATCTTTTTTTGCCGTCTTCTTGTACACCTTCTCCTGCTACGGCACGTCGGCACCGAAATTCTCTATGCGTGTTGCGTCAAAACAAGCATATATTTGTCGTGATTGCGGGTGATTTTTAATTTCAATTTTTGTTTATATTTGTTTTTAAGATTTGAGTGTGACTTTGTTTGTTTGGGAAAATTGCAGGTATATTTACAATGACAGGACTCCATTTGAGAAGTTGCCTGATAAGTACTTCTGTCCTGGTAAATTACAACCAACCCCACATTTTCTCTTTGAATTTTATGAATGAATTGTACTAGTAGACCCGTGTAAGATGGGTTAGGTCAAGATAGGTGGTCGGATTCATTACACGATGTGATAGTTACTCATTTATTATTGTGTTCACGGACCAAATCAGCTTATTTTAACTTTTAAAACCACAAATTATACTTAAAGCTTGTTTGGTAGGGATTTTTGGGGGAAGAATTGATTTTTGAATAGTAATATGATGGGAAATGTGTGGTTGAAAAAGAAGAAAAAAGTATTGATGTGATGGAAAATATTATTTTATTGAAAAATGTGTGGTTGAAAATGAGAATTGATTTACTGTAGAAAATGAGAAGTTATTTGGGGGAAGAATTGATTTTTGAATAGTGATATGATGATAAATGTGTGGTTGAAAAAGAAGAAAAAATTATTGATGTGATGGAAAATATTATTTTATTGAAGAATGTGTGGTTGAAAATGAAAATTGATTTACTGTAGAATTTGAGAATAAAAAACAAACACCCCCTTATTTAAGTTGAATCTGTCTAGTATCGAGATTTTTGCGAGCCAGGTCGAGTCAGTTTGACACTGCTAATAGCGATGAAGAGCGTGTTTGGTAGAGATTTTTTGGGGAAGAATTGATTTTTGAATAGTGATATGATGGGAAATCTGTGATTAAAAAAAAAAAAGAAAAAAATTGACTTTTGAATAGTGATATGATGGGAAATGTGTGGTTGAAAAAGAAGAAAAAAGTATTGATGTGATGGAAAATATTATTTTATTGAAGAATGTGTGGTTGAAAATGAGAATTGATTTACTGTAGAAAATGAAAATTTGTACCAAACATGCTTAAGGTTGACCATTTTGATTCTTTATTTGTTCTAGTTTGTGGTGCCCCAAAAAGAAGGTTCAGGCCATATGAGCCAGCAGTGACAAAAAATGATAATGACATGGATGCTCGAAAAGCCAGAAAGGCGCAGTTAAAGAGAGACGAAGCCATTGGGTAAGCACACTAAGCCATTTGGCATAGAGAGTTAGATAGTAATCGACTCGACGGTACAAAAGAAGAGAAATAAATTAAAATATTGTTCATCATACTACCCCGTCCTGTCTAATATTGATTATCCAATTTTGCAGGCGGGCATTGCCGATTGCAATTGTGGTGGGAGTTGCAGCACTTGCTGGTTTATACTTCTATCTCAACAGCTCTTTCTAGGTGAAGAGGGAAGATTACAAAATATCAGTCCATATCTAGAGAGAGGGTACTTTTGTATTTTCAATTCATTTGTGCAAATGTTTTAAGGTCAAGTATATTTACCACGTTGAACTATAAGACAGGAAAATGGCTAAAAAAGGATAGTAAATAGATATTAGGAAACGACTGCAGGAGGAACAATTGATTCACTTCATGAACCACAAAACAACACAAACACAATTTAAAACCGATTGGAAAAGAAATATGTAAACAAACAATCCCTTAAGCACTAACAAATTGGGGGTCGGTTGCGTAAATCTCTGTTAAACGTCTTTTTCGATTCATTACTAAATCTGCGGAGAAACTGCATCCTCGACTAGGGAAATATGTAAAAATAAGAAAATCCTGGAAGAAAGGCGTCACCTTCCCTTTGCCTCTATGACTTGCCTTTGTGGTTTGTAGTACCCTTCCATAGGAAGAGTTTCACCATCGTTTGCATGATTTTCTTTCTCTTCTTCTTCATCATCGGACTGTCTCAGCATGCTAAGTTAATTGTACTGCCACGGTTCGTCGTCTCCCTCAGAGTCCAAGTGTATATATAACCTTGCAGGCAGCAAAGTTTTCTTCTTTATAAAATGTAACAACATAGACTATGGTAGCCAATAAGTTGTTCTAGTAGTTCGTACTTATCCATTGCTAAGAATATTACTGTTCTTCAATATTTTAAATTATCAAAGAGGTAAATGCTCTCACCCCTACCTTGTGTATCTATTCTTGCTGAAAAGGGTTGGTCCAGTTCGTGTTATGGAAAGTCGAGCTTGAAAAGTTGAAACATAATTTTCCGTTGTGCATAACGAATGGAGTAGTCGATCGAGTATTTTGAAATATATATCCTTCATTCGTACAGCAACAAAACTAATAGTAATTTTTCAAAATGATTCTGAGAATTTTATTAATCAGAAGCCAAAGGGCACTAATCAATTTTGCACACCGATTCAAGAATAGTAATGAATTTTACGAAATGTTTAGATAATAAATTGGTAGTAGTTATTTGTATATTGTTGAAATTAATGTTTGACTTTGATTTGATAGAAGAAAAAATAACACACATGGTGACAGTTGTTTGCATTTGACTAGTTTGTAGACAGTGGAATGCAGTAGAAAATTATACCTATTCTATTAAGAATTTTTTTTTGGCAACGAGTCTCGATTTATAAAAATTACTCTTTTTATAAGTGTCTTTTTATAAAAAGAATAATGCTATGTGTACACATAGTTTTATACTCCCCTCATATGGAGGGGGCTCGCAAATATTTTATTGTTTTGTGGGCTCCCTCCATATGAGGGGGTGTAAAAGATTGTGTAAAATATTATATACACATAGCATTATCTTTATAAAAATATATGTTTTTGCGAGTGCCCGTGAAATAGACATGTATAGAAAAAACGTGCATGATTGTTTCAAAGTGAATAATGAAGTACTCAATTCAAACATTAGAGGGATGAACCATGCCCCTCACATAGGGGGTGGGGTCCACAATTTTAAAAGTCGCGAGCCCCACCCCAATGTGAGGGGACTGTCAAACTGAAAGTATACATTCAGCATTATTATTAGAAGGATAACATATTGTCGGTATGCTTCTGTTTGATACCCATTTTGTTTGAAAAATAATTTTTGGAATAGTGATTGATGGAAGATTGTGTGATTAAAAAGTAAGGAGAATTTTTGGGTTTATATGTAATATTATTTTATTAATATAATATGTGATTGAAATGAATAAAGATGTCAAACTGAAGGTATACATTCAGCATTATTATTAAAAGGATAACATATTGTCGGTATGTCCCTGTTTGACACCCATTTTGTTTGAAAAATAATTTTTAGAATAGTGATTGATGAAAGATTGTGTGGTTAATAAGTAAGAAAAAATTTTGGATTTATGTGTGATATTATTTTATTGATGGAATGTGTGGTTGAAATGAAAAAAGAGAAAAAAAAAAGAAAAAGAAATAAAACGAGAAAAAAATGGGTGTCAAACAGGGGCTAAATAATTATTATCATGGTTGCTTTCCATTTTTCCTTGGGTTTTTCCATCTATAAAGGATGAGGTCGACAACCTCTCACAGTGGTGGGTCCCACCGTGATTAAAAAAAATACTCACCCACTCCATCTATAAGAGGTTCTCAACCAAATCACCCCTCCTCCCTCTACATGTATCATGACTCTTTTTCCTTGGACTATTCAAATGGTTCTCAACCACGATTTTAAAAGTCGCGAGCCCCACCCCAATGTGAGGGGACTGTCAAACTGAAGGTATACATTCAG